TACTGAAGTTAAAATTCAAAAATCTGAGGTTGAAAATAATTTGAATCAAAAACAGACTTCTGGTCTTTCAACATTTTTGAAGAAGTAGATAAAACAAAAATTGTTGCTTATTTGATCAAATATTGCTACATTTTTTATGTTATATATGTTAGATAGGGTAAGGGATTTAAAGTCAGCTATTAGAACTTAGACACGGGGCTAGAGAGATGGCTCAGCCATCAAGAACACTGACTGTTCTTGAAGAGGACCCAAGTTTGATTCTTAGCACTCACAATGGCGGCTAACAGCTGTTGGTAATCCCAGTTTCAAGGGAATTTGATGCCCTCTTCTGACCTCCACTGGCATTGCATGATAGGGGTGCAGCTTATACACATGCAGGCAATATAGTCAGTCATACACATTAAATAAATAAATAAATAAAATAAATAAATCTTAGGCACTATCTTATAGGAGCTTAGAGTATAGGAATACACTGTATATGCAACTATTGTTGTAAACCAGGGGTTCTTATTCTTTGCACCGCTCTCAACATACCTCATAGGTGACCTGAAACATGGGTTTCCATGGCAATTCTCTTGTGATGAAGGGTCACAAGTACCTATAGGCACTTACCTCACTAATCTGGAAATGCTGGGCACTGAACTTGAGAACTGCTTTCTTAATCTTTGACTCGTGTTAATTGTTCTGCACCAAAAATTTCAAGGTTAAAACCTTTTGCTCTCCTGAGCATCCATAGCAGCTCATGTTCATTTATCTTCCTGGCCTTTACATGTGTATTGTTGTATCATAAGTTAATGTATAAGTCTTTGTTTCTTGAAACTAATCTCTGTGTTGATTTATCTTTATAACTGACATATCTCAACAGAGTGCTTTTTTTCTTCTTCTTTTTTTTTGGTCTTTTTTTGACACATGGTCTCCCTGTAGTCACAGTTGGATTCGCTATGGAAACCAAGCTGGCCTCAAGTTTCCAGAGATTTGCCTGCCTCTGCCTCCTGAGTGCTGAGATTAAAGGTGTGTGCTACTATACCTGACTAACAGAGTGCTTTATAATAGGAGATACTCAGAAAATATTTAAATGACTAAATTCTTTAGAGTCAATTATGATTTTATTTTAGGGTTAATGCTCTTAATGTACATTTCAATGTAAGTGTAGAGGTTCCATTGTAGATTTGTCACTTAGGGCTGGGCATCTCACAGACACTTACTCTCTGTGTTTGACCAATTATGGAACTCTGTAATAGTCTACATATGTTGTAAAAAGAAGCTTTTTTTGATGAGTGGTGCCTGGCATACTTGTCTGTAAATATAAGGATCCATATTTAGCGTACAGTAAGAAATTACATTTGTCTAGGTATGTGATAGATGTAGCTTTTTTCTCTAGGATCTGTGACCTATCTAGCCATGTGTATTTGGCTATGTTTACAGTACTACACATGCATTCCCTCCCATTGAGTGGGCTTTAAGATCAATTAGAGCTATTGATTACTCCTAAGATAAAAGTGTCACTACTGCACCAATAGAGATAGTTTGCTGCGTCCTTCTATTAGGCTTTATAGCTGGAATTGAACAATTGATTTTTTTTTTCTCTTAGCAGCTTGCATAGACAGAATGCATGAACTCTGGTCGGGGGGGTATGGGAGGGTACAGATAGGGGAAGGGGTCTAAATATGATTAAGATGTATTATATGAAATGCACAAAAATTTAATAAAAATATGTATTCTTAAAAAAAGAAAAAATTTCAGTTTAGTTACATTTCATCTACCTTTATAATGATCATGTCTTCTGAATAAAGTTTAAAATTTTGGAATAAAATAACTTTTCATTTTTGGTTTTACAGTTATTATATGACTTTTTCTTTTTACAGTGTACTTATATAAAAATTGATCAGGTTCCTAAAACATATGCTGTTGTCCTGAGTCGCCCAGCTTGGTTGTGGGGGGCAGAAATGGGAGCCAATGAGCATGGAGTTTGCATTGGGAATGAAGCTATATGGGGAAGAGAAGATGTTTGTCATGAGGAAGCACTACTGGGCATGGACCTTGTCAGGTGATTTCTATTATGTTTTCTTACTATAGAACTTGTCTAAATTTTAACATTTGGTATAACTCTTTAGGTATTTTATTTTATTTTATTTTTTGGACTTTGGTACTTTATGTCAGAAATGGTTAAGTTCCAGCCAGCATGCAATTTTATGACTCTTAAGTATCATTAATTAGTGCAGGGTGAGGACTCAGTCCACAAAATGCTTGTTTTACAAGCATGAGGACTGAGTTTGATCGCAAGCACCCATGTAAAAAGCCAAATTGGGAACTCCAGACTCAGTGAGAGATCCTCTCTCAAAAAATAAGGTGGACCTTTCCAACTTTTGCCTGGCGGAATGGCTCCCGCAAAGAAGGGTGGTGAGAAGAAGAAGGGCCATTCCGCCATCAACAAGGTGGTGACCCGGGAATATACCATCAACATTCAAAAGTGAATCCATGGAGTGGGCTTTAAGAAATCCGGAAATTCGCGATGAAGGAGATGGGTACTCCAGATGTGCGCATTGATACCAGGCTCTCTGCAAAGCTGTTTGGGCCAAAGGAATAAGAAATGTTCCATATTGTATCTGTGTTCGTTTGTCCAGAAAACGTAATGAGGATGAGGATTCGCCAAACAAGCTGTATACTTTGGTAACTTATGCCCCTGCTATCACATTCAAAAGTCTACAGTCAATGCAGACGAGAACTAACCACTGAGATTCAAATAAAGGTATAAAACTGCAAAAAAATAAAATAAAATAAAATATGGTGGAAGGTGGAATTTGAGGGCTAGAGACATGGTTCAGCAGTTAAGAGCACTTGTTGTTTTTCCAGAAGACCTGGGTTCGGTTCTCAGCACCCACATGGCAACTAACAGCGATCCATAACTCTAGTTCCAGAGGATCCAATGCCCTCTTCTGGTCTCTGCAGGGACTGCATGCATGTGGTACATTAACACACATACACAGAGACAAAACACACACAAATAAATTAAAAAAAAAAATTTATGGGTGTGGTGGTACACCTTTAATGCCAGCACTTGGGAGGTAGAGGCAGGCGGATCTCTGTGAGATCAAGGCCAGCCTGGTCTACATAACGAGTTCCAGGCCAGTTGAGAGTACAGGGAGACCCTGCCTCAAAAAGACCAAAAATAAATAAGTAAATAAATAAATAAATAAATAAGTAAAAATAAGGTGGAATGCAATTGAGAAAGCCATTTGACAACCACCTCTGGCTTCCACGTGCATGCTTATGTGCATGCATACCCATAGGCACACACCCACATGAACACTACAAGCACCACATTGACACCCACACATAAAGTGTATGCACATACACTTTAATTGGGAGGGGTCAGAGTTGGAAATTATGATTCATTGGAAGTCTCTGATCTGTCTTATTGCTTGGTTGACTAATATCTTCATTTTATAAGAAATGAGTCTTAGAGATAAAATAAGTTTCCAATAAGTTACCAAAATGGAATTTGACCATTTGACTCCAGAAACGTTTTTATTATCTCAAACTGACTTTAGAAGGAAAAGTTTAAAAATGTTTATTTTATCTGCTTGAAAATTTTTTTTACTTTGAATGTAGTAAACATGGTGTCTCATTAGCATGAAATTAATTAAGATGAATAAAGGCAATTACTTTTAATCTGAGAACCTCTATATTTTTGTTTTAGACTTGGCCTTGAAAGAGCTGATACAGCCGAAAAAGCTCTTGATGTCATTGTTGACTTATTAGAAAGATATGGCCAAGGTGGAAATTGTACAGAGGATAGTACAATGAAGTTCAGCTATCACAACAGTTTCCTGATAGCTGATAGGAATGAAGCCTGGATTCTGGAGACTTCAAGGAAGCACTGGGCAGCAGAAAAAGTACAAGGTATGGACAGCTATTTGTAATCTGGTTTATATGATTATATAATTAATAAAATGTACACTTCACTGCAGAAAATGCATTTAATTGCCTTTCAAGTTTTATGAGCTGTAGAGATGGCTCAGCAGTTAAGATTTATGATCCATTGCCATATCGGATAAGCTGCAGAGCAAAGTTAAAAATAGGAAAGAACATAGAGGAAAAGAGAAGAATCATGAACATCCTTAGAAAAATAAACAGGTAGCATTCTTTCTGTGCAATAGCTTTTGGTTGTTTTCATAGTGTTGTTTTTCTCTTTTTAATAACTACTGTTTCTTCCTTTTTAAACTTTGGATTAAATTCCAGAATTATATCATGTGTAAGTGTGGAGGTAAAGAAAAGGGAGTTGGGTTGGGGATGGGTATCTTTGGATCAGTGTTTGGAAAGGATACATTGATACAGGAGTAAAACAAAATTTGGTATTGTGGAATTTACTACTGGATGCCACAGTATAGCTGTGCCTTCGTTAAAAACAGCCAGACTCAGCATCCATTTTAAGACCAAGAGTGGACCCAAACTGCTGAGAACCCATTCCTTCAGAAATCTCTTGGAACTGAGCTCTCAAACAAGGGCTAGCTCTTTGTTTTATTGAAGAAGTATCTCCAGGATGAAGTGGGAAGGTAAAAGTCAGATCCTTATGAGGGAATTTTGCTCTTTCTGATCCCTAAACCTAGACCAACACACACAAACAGATGTTATCAATTTCTCTCATTGTTTGCAATGAAGTAAGTGCTGTTTGCAGCACTTGGTATGTTAACAAAGACATATGTGTAGCTTACCTCCTTTGTAAAACTAGGAGATTCAAGAGGTAAGTATACAGAAACATGTGATTAGGATATAACACAACACTATCCTCCAACTAAAGAACAAGGAACTGAGAATGGAGATGAAAAGACTTTCACTATTTTTAGTCACTTTAAGTCACTCTGGATTTCTTTACTTGAAATTAAGAGAGGCTGGGGAGATACTCAGTGGAGTAAGCACTTGCAACACAAGCATGAGAACTTGAATTCAAATCCATAGAACCCATATAAAGATTATCCATTTATAATCCCAGTGCTTTTAGGGCAAGATGTCAGGCAATAATGGAAGCATACCCAGAAGCTCATGGGTCAGCTAGCCTTGTATGTGCAGCAGTAACAAACAACAGGGACCCTGCCTGATAGAATAAGTGAAGACAGCCAAGGCTGTCCTCTGACCTTTACAAGTATACTATGGCACATGTATCATCCCCATACAGATGTGCACATACATCAGACACACAGAAAAATAAAAACTAAGAGGAATATATAATCACAAAGAAATCATGGAGGCAAATCAATTCTAAAACAAATTGCATTGTTTTAGCTAACACCATATGGGGTTGACTTTTGCAGTATGGAAATGCTCTTTTTTTTTGGTTTTTTGAGACAGGGTTTCCTGTAGCCCCAGCTGGCCTGGAACTCACTATGTAGACCAGGCTGACCTCAAACTCACAGAGATCCACCTGCCTCTGCTTCTCAGGTGCTAGGATTAAAGGTTTATGCCACCACACCCGGCCTGGACATGCTCTTTTAAGTCAAGGACAAGACCATTTGACCAGGTCGCAAGAGGAGCACCTAGCTCAGTGAGCTTGCCTACATTATAAACGAGCAAAGAAAATTAACTTTTTAAAAAATATATAAATGTTTTTAAAAAATTTGTTATTTTTATTTTGTATGTATGAGTGTATTGCCTGCATGTATGTAAATACGCCCATGTTGTTTGATGCCCGTGGAGGTCAGAAGAGGGTGTCAGATCCCCTGGAACTGGAGTTGCAGATGGTTGTTAGCTGCCATGTGGGTGCTGGGAATTGAACCTGGGTCCTCTGCAAAAATAGCCAATGTTCTTAACCTCTGAGCCATATCTCCAGATCCAAAAGATTAACTTTTTGGTTGCAAGGTTAAGTAAAAGTCATTTGTCCAGAGCATGTCCATATTATAAAAGTCATTCCCACATCCTCAGTTTGTTCTAGATGGAGGATAGTGTGTTGAATCCTAATCACATACTTCTTGTGTACTTAATCTTGGATCTCTTAGTTTTGCAAAGGAGGTAAGCTACACATGTGAAAATACTAAATGAGGGTTATGGAGGTAGCCCCAGTTGATATTGTGCCTGACTAGCATGCCCAAAGCTTTATGTTCATCCATTAGGACTACATAAAACTGAGCATGGTGGCACATACCTATAATCCCAGCACTAGGGAGGTAGAGGCAGGAGGATTTGAAGTTCAAGATTATCCTTGAAGACATGGGGTGTTTGAGTTTAACCTAAGATATATGAGACCCTACCTCAATAAAGAAATTAAGTGGTATATGAGTGATATGGACCCAGAGGTACTGTGATTAAGAATCAAAATGTAGCTGGGTGTGGTGGTACATGCCTTTAGTTCCAGCACTTGGGAGGCAGAGGCAGGCAGATCTCTGTGAGTTCAAGGCCAGCCTGGTCTACATAGTGAGTTTCAGGCCAGCTGGGGGCTACAGGGAGACCCTGTCTCAAAAAGACCAAAAAAAAAAAAATGTAGAGATACTTTATATTCTATGTAACTTTTCTTTTCCCTTTCCTTTTTTGAAAATAGGAGTTCGTAATATTTCCAATCAGTTTTCTATAACAACCAAGCTTGATCGGGAACATCCAGACATGAGAAATTATGCTAAGCTGAAAGGTTGGTGGGATGGTAAAAAGGAGTTTGATTTTGCTGCAACATATTCTTATATTGACACGGCCTTGATGATGACGTCGTCAAGCAGATACTGTGAGGGCTACAGACTTCTGAATAAATACAAAGGTACTTTTGGCATTTAAATAATACAATAATAAATTATGTTTTATGCAGATATAATGTGGGAATGATAAAATCTTACACTTAGTAAAAATGTAGTTTGAGTGAAAGTGAAAGCATTGGGGTATTGTAAGCAATTTTTGAGACATTTTATATAAGAAGGTAGTGATTCTTTTTAAGATAAAATTCAGATTCTCAATCCTCAGAGACTTTTTCTTTTCCTTTTATTTATTTATTTTTTTTTTTTCGAGACAGGGTCTCCTTGTAGCCCTGCCTGTTCTTTTCCTTTTTAAATATGTGAGCCAGGGTCCCACTATGTAATGCTGGCTGGCCTGAAATTTGCTATGTAGACCAGGCTGGCCTTGAACTCACAGAGATCCACCTGCCTCTCAGAAACTATAAAAAGTTCCTGTTAATATCTTTAAACAACATTGAAATGGAAGTGTAGCTCCATAGTAAAGTGGCTCTCAAGTGTGCATAAGGCTGTGGGCTGTAGCCTCAAACACACACACACCCATAGAATTTGGGATTACTTTTTCTGAATTCATTGGAACATAGAGACAGATTTCTTTGATACTGATGCTACTTTTTTGTTGTTTGTTTTTTAAGACAGGGTCTCACTATATAACCCTGATAGGCTTGGAACTCACTATGTTGATGAGGCTGGCCTTGAACTCACAGAGATCCACCTGCCTCTGCCTCCCGAATACTGGGATTAAAGGCATGTGCCACCATGCCCACTGTGCTGGATAGCTTTAGTTGTCAACTTGATACACCTGGGTAGAGGGCGCCTCAATTGGAGAATTGTCTCCATTGGACTGACCTGTGGCCCTGTCTGTGGAGTATTTTCTTGATTGTTGAGTGATGTGGGAGGGCCTAGCCCACTGTGGGTAGTGCCACCCCTGGGCAGGTGGGCCTGTGTTGCGTAAGAAAGCAGGCTGAGCAGGGGCCAGGGAGAGCAAGCCAGTAAGCAGCGTTCCTCCATGGCCTGTACTCCAGCTCCTGCCCCCAGGTTCCTGCCCTGAGTTCCTACCTTGGGCTCCCTCAGAGATGAACTGTGACCCTGGAGATGTAAACTAAATAAACCCTTTCCTCCCCAAGTTGGTCAGAGTGTTCTCTTACAGCAATAGAGAAACTAATACACCCAGCCTTGATAAAATACTTCTTTAAAAAAAAATTTTTTTAAGTTACTTGGGAGGCAGAGGCAGGTGTATCTCTGTGAGACTGAGGCCAGTCCGGTCTACATAAGGAGTTCCAAGCCAGCTGGGGCTATAGGGAGACCCTGTCTCAAAAAGACCAAAAAAAATTTTTTTTAATTTTATTTTATGTGTATGAATATATTGCCTGTATGTGTGTAATTGCCTCTGTAGTGCAGTGCTGTGGCAGTCAGAAGAAAGAGTCAGATTCCTCTGGAACTGGAGCTACAAACAGTTGTTAGCTGCGATGTGAGAGCTGGGAATTGAACCTGGGTCCTCTGCAAGAGCAGCCAAGTACTCTTAACTGCTGAGCCATCTCTCCAGCCCTGACAAAATATTTCTATAAATCAGAAAGCAACTCAGAGATCAGTCAGTGATTGAAATTTTGTCTTTTTAGGTATTCATTTAAAAAATTAATCTCATGTTAACTATTTGGTATTTCAAAAAAAAGTTTGTGGCAGATCATTCTTAGAGCAACTTAAAATTATTTTCAGGGTGTCTAATATTTTACTATATTTTAATTTCTAAAAGACTCTCTTACAATTTGAATTTTTCTATAAAGTTTCTTAATGTAAGCTTGGTATTTTATAAATATTTAAGCTTTTTTCCCCCATGTGGGCAGGTATGTAGAAAATGCCACTAAAGATTTTAGTTTTAGCATAGTTACTGTAAAAGTAGATCAAGAGTAGTAGTTACAGTAACACTGGCTACTCCCATTTTGTTACATGCTTGTTAAGAACACTCTGCTGAGTGCTTTCCTTACTTTACGTCCTATAAGCAAACATGGGGGATAAATATCTTCATTTCATAAGAACTGTATTTGCTTGTGGCCTTCATTTATCTTCCATGTGAAGCTGGGTAAAAAAAAATAGGCTTTTCTTATTTGCGCTTATCTTTCTCTTAGCACCTGAGAAAGAGAAAGAGAAAGTTCATTATTCTGCACTAGTATGTTGCCTGTACTTAACAAGTTAACAAAGAATTGTTGAATTAATTGTAACTTGTAGCTAATTTAATTTAGTTCACTGTTGTGTACTTTTCTCCTGATAAAAGATTTGAAGAGCCTGTAAGTAAAATTAGCAGATAATCTTAAAAAATGAAAACTAGGAGCTAGAGAGATGGCTCAGTGGTTGAGAGTGCTTGCTGCTCTTCCAGAGGACCTGAGTTCTGTTCCCAGCAACCACATCAAGTGGTTCAAACCACCTGTTATTCCAGCTCCAGGGGATCCAGCGCCCTCTTCTGGATTCCATAGGCACCCGCATGCATACACACACAATTAAATAAATTAATAAACAAACCAGGGACAGAGATGTGGCTTAGTAGATAGAGTACTTGTCCCACATGCACAAGGCCCTGGGTTTGATCTTCAGCACTGTGTAAAACCAGATGATGCATACCTGTAATCTCATTTCTTGGGAGGGAGGTAGAAGCAGGTAGCTCAGAAGTTCAAAGTCATCCTTGACTATATTTTAAGTTCAAGGACAGCTTGGGCTACATGAGACCCTGTCTTTAAAAAAAGTGGTGATGGTGGGAGGTTCTGAGGAGATGGATTTGTTGATAAAGTGCTTGTTTTATAATTTCAGTTTGGATCCCCAGCATCTACATAAAAGGTAGACACCATAGTGTGTGCCTGTAATTCCAGTACTAAAATTCCTAGAGGCTCACTGGCCAGCTAGTCTAGCTGAATCAGTGAGCTCCAGGTTCAGTCAGAGATCCTGCCTCAAAACACACAGTGGAGAACAGTAGAGGAAGACACGTGATGTTGATCTCTAGCTTACACATATGCACATGTGCCTGAACATCTGTGTATACACATATACGAGCATGAACAGATACACAGGCACCCACCCCACCCCACACACACACGCAAACACACACACACACACACACACACACACACACACCAAAATAGAGACCAGCAATGCCGAATTAAGATGGAAGAGAATCAACCAAGTGTGGTAACTCATGCCTATAATCTCCACACTTGGGAGGCTGAGGCAGGAGGATCACTGACAGGTTTAAAACCAGCCTTGGCTGTATGGCAGAATTCTGCCTCAAACAAGATAGAAGGGAATATGTGAAGAATTCCAAGATTTAGGGTAATTGGACAAAATGAAGAAAACCAAATAAAATTAGTTATAAATTAATTAACTACTGCATTGAAGTCTGTCATATTTAACTACCAAATAACCAAATCACAAATCTGAAATGCATACATGAGCATAACAGTGGATATCTTTGATACAAACCTTATTTTTTTCAAGTGTAATATACAGTTTATCCAGCTTTCTATTCTTTGCCAAAAGAATAAATGCCTTTCCAACAGTTCCATAGGAAATTGTCTGCTAGTATATTATGGTTAAATTTTCCTATGATTTTTCTAGATAAAGAGCCTGCCTTCCTTCTTCCATCTATCCCTACTTGATAGCTATTAACTGTGCTGCATGTATATCCAAATTGTATCTATATTCACTCATGTATTTTAAGTAACTAGTTTAAATTGCAATGAAATTGCACCCTGTGTTTTGCATTCATTTTGCTGAACCCCTCCACTGCAGTCTCAGTACTTATTCAATGCTTGCTAGTGGATTACTTATAGCTATCCTACTCAAGTGATCATGTAAATCCTCCTTTCATTTTGAGAATTGAAGGTTTTGAATACCGAAAACATTTTTATAATACCTATATTATCACAGTGTTATGCTTCTGACATTTTTTTTTAAACTTGCCATTTATAGGAATTTAGACTTGAATCACTTTTAAATCTCACTAGGTGTTGAAACTTTGTGCTTGATGGATAGGTGTGAATGGTAGGTTTTTGCTTTATTGTTGAGTTTAATATTAAGGGCTGATTGTAGCTGTATCCCCCTTTCTTCCCCCAGTGTTTTTCAAGATTAACTGAAAGATATTGCTCCTCTATCAAGTTACATATAAATTCAGTAAGTTATTTTTCTTGAACTTGAAATCCTGGCTGTATTATAAAAGAAACTAGATAAGAGCATATAGACTTGTATAAATCTATTGCCGTTAATATAAAATCATCGGCAGCTTGCATGTTTAACTAATAGCAGAACATTAGACTTTTTTCATATGAAAGTTAATTTTCCATTTTAATTTGAAGCATCACAGTTATAGTTTGGATATAGACTTGTGTGAGTTTTTCTTTTGATCCCATGCTATCTTGGGAAAGGAGGAAGTTTCTTGCCTTTTAGATTGTTTTTGTGTCAATCCAGGGCCTCATACATGCTAAGCACATGAACTATATTGAAAATCTTGCTTCCAGTACCAATTATTATAGGGTTCTGTCAACCACAAGTAAATGATTATGTTCCTTTCTTTCTTTTTTTTTTTTGAACTGTGTCTCCCTGTACCCCAGTTGGCCTGGAACTTACTATATAGGCTGGCCTTGAACTCATAGAGATCTGCCTCCCTCTGCCTCCCAAATGCTGGGACTAAAGGTGTGCACCACTATGCCCAGCCTGATCATATGTTTCTTCAGGACTTATTTTAATGTAATAATTAAATATTTCCACATAAGGTATCTGAGTATGTCTGATGGCACAAACTATTTTACAATTAAAAAAAAAACTAGACTTATAATATGGATCTACCATGTTTATTGCTATTATTAGGAAACAACCAATACTTTAGTGTCAAAAGAGGCTGCTGTATTTGATAAACGAGAGGTGCAATAGTAGAATGGATAAAAGCCTGCTGCTAAATATCAGAGTACCTGGTGCTACACTTAGCTCCTTCTAAGAACAGCTGGATGATCTAGAGAAGGAATGCCCACTGCTGAAGGCATAGATGAAC